AGGACAAGGGTGGCAGATATATGGGAACACCACTACTTTCAAGTTCCCCTCCAAGCCTCACACCATCCTGACTTGGAAATATATTGCTATTTCTTCACCGTCACTGGGTTAAAATGCTGGAATTCCCTCCCTTACAGCATTGTGGGTCAACTCACAGCAGGCAGACTGCAGCAGTTCAAGAAAGCAGCTCACCACCACCTTCTCAAGTGCAAGTAGGGATGGGTGATAAATACTGGCCGGCCAGGGACGCCCACCTCCCATAAATGAATAAATTTTTAAAAATTGAGGACAATATTCTCTCCAGGAATGTATTAGTATCCCCTGAGTCCTGGTCCTGGTCCTAGTCCTGGTTCAGGTAACTCCCCAAAAAGAAGTTCAAAATCACTGATAAACTGAAGATTACATCCTAGAGAAACTTGGTAGCACCATTATGAGTTTTAGATGGCGCTACAACAAGAAGGTCCAATGTAACAGAAAACGTAATAAACTTTCTTTGCATGACAGTCCATGTTATGAATTAGTCAGACTTTACCTGAAGGGCATGTTTTCTTCAAAATTTCATATTTTTCACAATAACAATGTCCATTTCATGTAGGATGCATGCAAGTTATGTTTGATCGATGCCATGAATCAAGCTACTAAGTTATTTTGTTGGTGCTGTGAAGCCAAATGTGACCTTGCAAAAATTAATTGCTACTTTTTGTAGAAAAGAGTGGTTGTTTACTGTTGCTGCTATAGATATGTTCTTGGATAAAGAAAGAAGCACTGAATCATACAAAAGAACCATTTGCTAAGTTTGACATTGAGTCAGTACGAAATTAACCAAGTTTGTCAGAGTGGCAGACTATGATTTTGATTTTTAGACTGGGGGGAGGTGGGTGTTGCAAGGTTGAATCAACAAAGGTTCTTTTTAAAATCACCTTTCAGTTCTTGGTTTTCGTTTTTAAATTCACTCATGGAAAGCTGATATCGCTCGTTGGCTGACTAGCATTTATTGCCTGCCCTTAGTTGCCTTTGAACTGAGGGCCTTGCTCGGCCATTTCAGAGGGCAATTGAGAGTCAACCACATTACTGTGGGTCTGGATCACGTGTCGGCCTGACCAGGTGAGGATGGCAGATTTCTTTCCTTGAAGGATATTAGTGAAATTTTTTTTTTATGAGTGAGAACTGTTTTTCTCTCTCTCTCTATTCTGTCCAGATCTCTCATGATCTCGAAAATTTCTATCAGATGCCTTCTTAGCCACCTTCTGCCCATGGAGAACAGTTCCAATTTCTCTAAATATTTGCATGACTGAAGTTTTTCAACCATAGAAACATTCTTGTAAATCTCTTCTGCACTCTTTCCAGTGCGTTCATATTTCCATATTGTGGCACCTGGAACTGTACACAACACTCCAGCAGAGGTCTAAAACATGTCTTATGCAAGTTCAGCATAAACTCCTTGTTCTTATATTCTATGCCCTTATTAATAAAGACCAGGATACTATATGCTGTATTAAATGGTCCCTGCATCTCTCCTGCCTTCAATGACCTATGCAGATATGTACCCAGGTCCCTCTGCTCCTGCATCCTCTTCAGAATTGTACCCCTTACTTTACATTGTCTGTCCATTTCTTCCCACCAAAATATGTTGCTTCACATTTCTGTGCACTGAACTTCATTGCCTCCTATCTGCCTACACCACCAGCTTGTCTATTCTGTTTTGAAATTCCACACTGGCCTCCTTACAGTTTACAATGCATCCAAGTTTTACACCCTGTGCTGTTCCAACACAAATTAATTAACATTAACATTAATTTACATCATGAAAAGCAAGTATTCTCAATTCTGACCCCGGGAAACTCCACTATAAACCTTCCTCCAATCTGAAAAATATCTATTGACCATTACTCTGTTTCCAATTACTCAGCCAACTTCTTATCCATGTTACTATTGTCCCTTTTATTCCATGAGCTGTAACTTTCTCATAATTCTGTTGTCTGACACCACATTGAACACCTTCTGGAGGTTCATTTATTACCTCATCAACAGCATTATCCTCATTGACGCTTTCCATATCTCTTCAAGAAAGCCTTAGTACATTACATAAACATGATTTGTCCTTAAGAAACCCAAGTTGCCTCTTCCTAATCAACTCATCTCTTTTTCCATGTGACTACTAATTCTATCCTGAATGACTTTTTTCTAGAAGCTTCCCCATCACTGAAGTTAAACTGACTGGTCTGTACTGGGCTTATCCTTTCAACCTTTAGTGAACAAGGGTATGATGCATCTCTCAAACACAATGAGTCTAAGGAAGATTGAAAGACTATGGCCAATACCCCTGCAATTTCCACTCTCACTTGCTTCAGTATCCTTGGATACATGTCATCAGGCTGTGTATCTTGTCAACTTTAAATACCTACAATCAATCCAACACTTCCTCCTAATCAATTCTGACATCTCCTGACAGTGTATCCTCCTCAGTGACCATGTCCTGTGAGGCATCTATTTCCTTGGTAAAGACAGATGCAAGGAATTAATTTAATACCTTAGACATGCCCCCCTATTTCCATGTATAAATTCCCTTTGGTCCCTAATCAGTCTTTCTCCTACTTTTATCACTTTCTTTTTATCCCCTATGAACATTCTGTATTCCTCTTGGTTCTCAATTGCTTTTTCTACCCGACATCTGTTATGAACATACTTTTTCTTTTACTTCTTAATTTCTATCTCTTTTGTTGTCCAGGGAGCTCTATCCTACATGTTGGCTGTACTCAAACCAACACCTGTTACTCAGTTACAGCTTTCCTCACCAGTCGATATGACAAGTTCCATTCTTGCCCCATTAATGTCAGCTCTCTGCCAATTGATATATCTTACTCTGGATTAACCATTGTCATTCTCTGCCATCGTCCTTAACTTTACAATACAATGATCACTGTCTACTCAATGTTCCCCACCCAAACTTTATCCATTTTCGTCCGCCTCGTTTCCAAAACCAATTTCATCCTTTACTGTTGGACCAGATATAATACTGAAGAAAATTCTCTTGAATGCAATCTAAGAACATTTGACCCTCACTGTCCCTTATGCTACCAGTATCTTTGTCTATATTTGAGTAAGTAAATTAAAATTACCATTTAACGTTGGCATGTCTTGGAAATTTCCCTGTAGATTTTCCTCTACATCCTTCCCACTAGCTAGTGGTCTATAGACCACATGGAGAAATGTAATAACATCCTCTTTTTTCCCTTAACTGTCTAGCTAAATTGATTTTATTCTTGAATACTCTGGGCATTCTATTTCTCCAGGACTGCACTGCTCATCATAACCAATATTACCACCCTCCTCCTTTCTTTCCTTTTCCAACGTTCATGGAATCCATATATCCAGGTATATTTAACATCGAGTCCTGTCCTTACTTGAGCAATATCTCTATTATTGTCACAACATCATATTCCACGTGGCAATTTGCGCCTGTAATTCCTCAATTTTATTAACTAAACTCCATGCATTCACATACATGAACAGTAAGCCTCCTTTTTTCCAACTTCACATATTGACTTACTATTCTCTATTGAAGTGCTATTTGCCTCCCTAAATATGTTGTGCACCTTGGTATTCTTTCATATTCTCTGAGGATAGAGGATAGAATTTATCTGTAGCTGTTACCACCAGTATCAATTAGTTGTTTCTCCTTTTTATTTTAAGGTTTTCACAAAGGAATCGTTGTTGATTTTGGAGTTGTGCTGCACTGCAGCTTTCAGGCTTTGTAAATGAAGGACTGAGGAGAGTTAATTGTTTGGAAACAAATAGGAAAAGAAGTTAAATTGGTTGATTGCCCCTTTCAAACTTCCTGTCCAAAGCACAGCCACTGTTCGAGAGTTGTTTTGATCAAAGTGTTAACATTTTGAGAGCCTTTATAGCTTGTATAGACAAGCCTGTGGAATGTTGCTGCAGAATAATGATACATCACAGCAAACAAAATTCATTTCAGTCATATCCCTTTTAGGTTTGAGGATGATTCATCCTTCACCTTGAGCTAGAAATATTTCTCCCTACCCCGCCCCCACTCCTGTTTTCTTCTCCCTTATCTAAAAGTCAGGATTTGTAGTTAGTACTGACAGTACGAGATGCTGTCATTTTATGTTTATGTTGCTTGATATTGTGCATTGGCCTTCAGGCAGTAATTGTGAGATAGAAAGTGAACAATGTAATCCAACAGTGTATTCAGCTGAAATGATAGTATACTGCACCTGTCTAGACTTTGTAATTAGTTTGGAACTGTTGTTTAATTTTGTCAAAAAGCATTACTATTTTGTAAACAGTCTGAAATTTCTCACTGAAATCACATCTCCTTTCATTTCCTTGGTGAAACTTTTGTCTTCTGCTCTGAACATGGTTCACTTAAAACTAGAAATGACATTCATCCCCTAAGAAGGAATTTGTTCAGAAATTTGTTGTCGTGTTTTTTTTTAAAGAGGGTTGGGATGAACACAGTTGGTGAAGACAAGGAATCCATGTGTTCATACGACTTACTCATAAATCTGCCTTTAAAAGCACAGTGATCCTGGTAACTGATGAGTTTTGAGACCTGACTGTTCTACAGCATATGGAGAGCTGGTAAGATTACTTTCAGATAAGTGTTACCTACAGCCCAGAGCTTGACAATTTTGTTAAGCTTCCAGAGATATCATTCACGAGTACTTTCCTGTACTATTAAGCCATACTTAGAAATCAGCATTTTTTTAGTGAAACATTCAAAGAGCTTAAGAATTGGTAAGGAAAACATGTTGGCTCATCATCTACTAATTAGTTAAACCGAGCTGATTTATACTACTTTTATGCTAGATTTTGGCATGAAGCCAGAAAAGGAGTAAGTCTAGTGATCAAAAGCATTTGATTGGTAAACTGCATGAAGGCATCTGCCAGTGAAACTCCATAGGAATGCAGGGTTGGATGGTTTAGAGTTAAAGATAGAGACTGTGTGCACATAGTCTCTTGAGCCAGTTTCTAAATTCAGCAGTCTGTTCAGTTGTCTACCAGGCTGTTATCAAAAGTGCCTTCAGCTGTCAGCATTATAACCAAAACTTATTGTTAAAACCTTTTGAGGCTATATTCAACAAGACTACACGTGAAGACAGAATGGTGTACACAACAGAGTAAGTTTGTGTTTAAAGCTGATTCCTTCGCGAGGGTTTGATACTTTTGTTGCATTTTGTTTCTCTGGCATCTAAATTTTCTATGTTCAAAGAGCCAATTAAAAGTATTGTGAATGTTGTTTAATATCCACTTTAGTGTAAATTTTAAACAGAATTGTTCTGTATACTAGCTTTTGAAAAACATGTTTTCCCCTTGTGCTGCATTTGTTCTTAAATGGAAATTCCCTCTCCTTACTCTGTTAGAAGTATGGCATAATGACTATAAATGGTATTTTCAAACTTAGCATTGCCAATAGTTTACTGTTAATAGAACAAGAACCCAAAATGATATTCTATGCTACATTCATACTGTATTTTTAAGCATCGAATTATTATGGTCAAGGTAAACAAACATACCTTGCTGACTGTTAGATATTTAGTATGAGTTTCTTTTATTGGATTTTATGTACTTTTTTAGAGGTCCGTGCAAAGTACGTTTATGGACGAGCATGTGCTACAGAAACTATGGGGGGAATTTTAAGCTCCTTGTGATTGATGGTAGAGGATTGGGGGCTGTTAAAAATAAAGATGATGAAATGCAAGCCCCACACTCGACAGACTTGCCTGTCACCATTTTAACGGTAGTGGGTGGCCTAGTAGGTCTGTGGGGCACTCCTGAAGAGTGGGGCAACTCGATAACATCAGATTCCAACAATACAGTTGGAGCCTGGTTTAAATTTGACAATGACCAGGCAGATTTGGGAATGCTGGCAACAAAATAAAAATGGGACCTGTTGGATCAATCATGTAGGTGCTTTTTATAACAATGCTTGTGAGCCAAAAGGAGCAGGAATGCTCTCCCAGGTTCCTTAAGCATGTCTTCTGCTACAGTTGGCTCGATATGATAATGGAAAGTAAGATTTGTGCCACACAAATGCCAGGTAATGTCATCTCCAAAAATGGGGTATCTAATTAGTCCCTTGATGTTGATCATTTCCATTGATGAATCCTCTACCAGCAACATCCTTCAGGTCACTACAATCTAGAAAACTAACTGGAACAGTTGCAACAGAACTGTGGTTGCAACAGTATGTGAGATTCTGAATATTGTGTTGAGTAACTCTTGACTCTCCAAAGCCTTCCCACCACTTATAAGGTAAAAATTAGTAGTGTGATAGAATAATCTCCACTTACCTGAATGGATGTCACTACAACACTTGAGAACCTCAACAACGTTCAGAATAAAACAAGATGCACTGCAGCAACACAAGGTTTCTTTAACCAGCACCTCTAGAGACCAGCAACCTGTACTATCTTGAAGGACCTGTGGCAGATGGATGGGAATGCCACTAGGTCCAAGTCATTTATGTCCCTGACTTGGAAAATCACCATTCTGGTGGTTCAAGAGGCATTCACTATTATCTTGTTGGGGCAATTAGGGATGGACAGTAAATGCTGGCCTTTGTTACAGGAATTCATGGCACTTACTTCGAATGTGCAATGGCTCCTTGCAAATTGAATGTTTTATTCGGCAAATTCAACAATTCTTACTAAATCATTCATAAGCTCGTCCAAAAATCTGCTGCCCGTATCCTAACTCATGTCCAGTTTTGTTCAACCGTCACCCGTATACAAACTGACGCACCTTGGTTCCCAGTTAAGCAATGCGTCAATTTTAAAACTCTCATCCTTGTTTTCATTCACTCTGCCTTGGGGAGATGGTGGTATTGTGGCAATGTTAATAGACTAGTAATCCAGGGGCCAAGTCAGTACTCTGGGGACAACTTCCACCGAAACAGCTGATGAAATTTAAACTCAATTAATTTAAAATGTGTTTTAAACTGATTGATGTAATTTGGTCTGAATTAACTTTCAACTTCATTTTATGCCATGCTTCTTTTATTTCATCTTTCAGACATCTGTTTGGCCCTTTAAAATGATATTGACTTCTTTTGATGAGCATGGTCAGTGGGAAGCCCCGCACTTCACTATGGAAACTAGTAGCAATTGTAAACTATTTGGCCCTTCCACCCTGCACTGTCATTCAATATGATCATGGCTGATCCTCTATCTCGTTATATACCTGCTTTCTTCCCTGTGCCTTAATGCCTTTAAAATTAGGAATTTATATATCTCTATCTTGAATATATTTAATGATATGGCCTCCACAGCCATCTATAGTAGAAAATTCCACAGATTCACTATCTTTTGTGTGAATATTTCCTCACCTCAGTTCTAAATCATCTACTCCATACCCTAAAACTATGTCCCCTCGTTCTAAACTCTCTATTCAGTGAAAATATCCTCCCTTCATCAATTCTGTCCAACCCTTGTAGAATTTTATACATTTCAATCAAATCCACTCTCACCCTTCTAATCTTTCGTGAGTACGGACCCAATTGAACCAATCTCTCCTCCTAGCATAGGCCTGTCTTCCCCAGTCTCAACCTAGTTAACCTCAGTTGCACGCCCTCTATAGCAAGTGTATCATTTTTTAGGTAAGGAGACTAAAACTGCATGCAACACCTTAAGGTGCAGTCTCACCAAGACTCTGTATAACTGCAATACAACACCCTTACTTTTGGTTGTTCTGGTCCTTGAGAATCACCTTCCAGATTCTGTTTTCTAATAATTGCAGCTATTCTTTAATTTCATCATTTTCTAAGCCAATTCTAATTTTACTGTCACTACGCAGAGCCATAGGTGCCCCCACAGGAGATAGGGTGTCTGTGTTGCTCCACATGGCTTCTTGCCATGAGCTCCGAGTGCCCTGGTCTCATGACTAGGGCCTTAACACGTGCGCCGTGAAGTGCAGGTGAATTTTTTAATGGGAACATTGCCTGAATGTGGAGGAGGATGCCCAAGTCAGGAAAACAGAATATTTAATACGTGGACTACGAGCAGAGCGGGAGCACTTGCCCAGGCTTATTTGGGCTCAGAGCCTAAAGGGAAAAAAGAATCAAACACAAACTCAAACTGGTTTTAGGCTATTTTCTCATTTTCTTGCTGAAATGGCAACAGGCTTCAACAGAAATGGTGCAGGGAGGACATTAATTATGAAAACATCTCGGGGAAATGGTAAAATACTTGCTTATTTCTCGTAAGTTTTCTCATTTCCAAATACCAGGGTTGGGGTGATGGGGCTGGGAGAGGTCACTTTTTTCTTGCCTCTTCAATCTAGTCATTTGCAGGCTGGATTGTGAATCATAATATTTGAATTTTTCAAACACTTTTTGCTACCAATCTAGAGATAAGAAGCAAATCCAAGTTTAGTAATCTGTTATGAGTTTCAACCACAGAAAAACTGTTATTACAATAAAATGTAAGATTCTCAAATTAAAAATAACGGTTGCTATAAAGTCATTCACATATCATAATTATTAAATATAATATACAAATAGTTTGAAAATAAACCAAGAAGCAAGCAATTCTATTACATTCTACTCTTCAAATACTGTCAGTACATTTGACATGTTCTTGATACTTTCTGATTCCCTCAGTTGTGGACTGATGCATTTGTGTTTTCTAAAATTTTAGCAAAGATTTATAGCTTGGATTGTGGGTGAGATTGTTGACTTGCTCGCCAAGCTGGCTTGTTTTCATTCAGACATTTCATTGCCATTCTAGATGCCATCATCAGTGAGGCCTCCGATGAAGGAATGTTCTACTGCGCTTGGAATTTATACTGTCCGGGCCATTAAGGTGAGTAGTGTCATTTCTGGTTTTGATCTGTGTGGATTTGTATATGGGGTCCAAATCTATATGTTTGTTGATTGCCTCTAGGAATTCCTGTGCGTGTCTATGTTTGGCTTGGGCTACTATAGTTACGTTGTGAATGGAGACATCGTTCTGAACCTGTAATGCAATCAGCAAACATATAGAATTGGACCCCATATACAAACCCATACAGATCAAAACCGGAAATGACACCACTCATCATCGCGGACCAGACAGTATGAGTTCCAAGCGGAGTAGAACAGCATTGCTTCATCGGAAGCCTCATTGATGATATCGTCTAGCATGGTGATGAAGCATCTGAACGAAAACAAGCCAGCTCAGTGAGCAAGTCAACAGCCTCATTTGTGTTTTCTGCTTGTATGATTTAGGAGCAGTAGGAACAAAGAAGTTGGGAACAGGAGTAGGCCACACAGCTCATTGAGCTTGCTCTGCCATTTAATAAGATCATGGTTGATTTATTTGTGGTCTAAACTCTACATTCCTGTCTGCCTCCTATAACCCTTCAGGTCTTCATCAAAAATCTATCCAAGTAAGCATTCAGTAACCCAGCCTCAATTGCTTTCTTGGGAAAAGAATTCCAAAGCCAACTAACCCTTTGACAAAAAAAAAATCTCAACTCCATCCTGAAAGGGAGTTCTCTTACTAAACTGTGTTGCCTAGTTCTATTTTCTCCCACAAGAGGAGTCATTGTCCAGATACCCATACTGTCTAATCCCTGCAGGACTTGCATGTTTCAGTAAAATCAACTCTCATTCCTCGAAGTTCCAATGACGCAACAATTCAACCTTTGTTCACAAAATGCTCTCTTCAGCCATGAATGAGTTGAGTAAAGCTTCTCTGAACTGCTTCTAACACATTTATAGGTATTTTCTAATCAACCTGTAGAGAATTGCTATTACACACCTCTGGAGCATGTGGGATATGAATTAGGGGTCCTCTGGCTTAAACGTAGGGACATGACTGGTGCACCACAAGAGCCCCTAGAATATTAGCCTCACATGCTGGATTACTAATTCAGTGATATTATCATTAACATATTAAGCATATATGCATAAATTTGAGATTATCCACTTTGATAGTAAAAACAGGAAGATGAATTGTTATCTGATTGGTGAAAGAGTGGAAAGGGGAGGTGCAACAAGATCTGGGTGTCCTTGCACACCAGTTGCTGAGAATAAACATGCAGATGCAGCATGTGATGAAGAAGACAAATGTCTGTTGGCCTTCATAGTGAGGGGATTTGATTACAGATGCAGGATGTCTTGCTGCAATTGTATAGGGCC